AAGATATTCCATGTTCATGGATAAAAAAATTGAGTATTGTCAAGATTACCTAAAGCAATCTACAGATTCAGTGCAACCCCTATGAAAATCTCATTTTTTTTTTGCGTAAGTAGAAAATCCACCTAAAAATTCATAGGGAATCTTAAGTGACCCTGAATAGCTAAAACCACCATGCAAAAGAACAAAATTAGATGACTCTCACTTTCTGATTTCAAAACTTAACTAAAAGAGACAGTACTCAAAACAGTGAGACAGTGGCATAAGGATGGACACACAGAATAATGGAATAGAATGGAGAACCCAGGAATAAACAAACCCTCACATACACATTCAAATTATTGACAAGGGTGCCAGGATTATTCAATTGGGAAAGGACAGTCTTTTCAACTAATAGTGCTCGGAAAACTAGACATTCACATGCAGAAGGGTTAAGCCGTACCCTTAATTTACACCATACACAAAAACTGACTCAAAATGGATCAAAGAGCTAAAACTATAAAACTCTTAGAAGAAAACATACAGGAAAAGTTGATGGTATCAGATTTGGCAGTAACTTCTTGGATATAACACCAAAAGCACAGGCAACAAAGGAAAAAAAAACAGATAAAATGGATTTTATCAAAATTAAACACTTCTTTGCATCAAAGGACCCTATTAATCAAGTGAAAAGACACCCATGAAATGGAATAAAGTATTTACAAGTCATTTCTTGAATAAGGTATTGATATCCAGAATATATAAAGAACCAAAACTCAACAACAAAAAAGAAAATCCAATTCAAAAATGGGCAGTGGACTTACAGACATTAACTCAAAAAAAGATATATAACTGGCCAATAAGCATATGAAAAAATGCTCAACATCAATAATCCTTAGGGAAACACAAATAAAACTACAATGAGATACTACTTCACACACGTTAGGACAGTACTGGTGTCAATGTGGAGAAATCAGAACCCTAGTACACTGCTCATGGGAATGTACAATAGTACAGCAGCTACGGGAAACACACTATAATAGTTAAATATAAAACTGCCAAATTACAATTGGTAAATATTTAGCATAAAAAAATTAAACATAAAATTACCGTATCATTCATATCCCACTTATGGATAATACTTACCCCCAAGAATTGAAGGCAGACTTAGAGAGATTATTGGTACACCAATGTTCATAGCAGCATTATCATCAATGTGGTAACAATGCAAATGCCCACCAGCATTTGGATGGATGTACAAAATGTATTACACATACAACAGAACATTACTCACTCTTAAAAGGGGATGAAATTTTAATATATGCTGCATTATGGATGCACCCTTAAATCATCACGTTAAGTGAACTGTATCAGACTCAAAAGGAAAAACGCTGTATGATTCCACTTAAGGTACCTAGTATAGTCAAATTCATAGAGACAGAAAGTAGAATGGTGGTTGCCAGGGGCTATGGACAGGAAGAAATGCAGGTATTGTTTAATGGGTACAGTTTCAGTTTGAGAAGATGAGAAAATTCCAAAGAGAAATAGTGGTAATGACTGCATGGCAATATAATGTACTTAATGCCCCCGAACTGTACACATGAAAATGATTAAAATGATAAATTTCACTTATATTTAACCACTACTTAAAAAGTAAAGCAAGGGGGGAAAAAAGGAGGGATTTTATTGTTGGCCAACTGCAGAACTATATAGTCTGGCAGTAGCAGCAGGAAGCTAGCAGAATGACCCCCTCACTTACTACCCCATGTAAGAGAGTGTGCTATGCAGGGAAAAAGACGGAGGAGCAGAAAGGCAAGGCAGAAACCTCCCGTGCGCACACACAGCAATGAAGAAACTACAGCAAATGCAACTAACCCTGAAAACGACCTGAAGACTGCAGAGCAGACCACCTGCACCTGGGGAAGAGGAGAAGCCCACACAGGGAAGGGTAGAGTGACAGAGCTGACATACAGCAGGACCCCAGCCCTTCCTCATCCCAGCCCACAGGCGGAGGAACAGAAACTGAGCAGGGAGGGGATAGGTGCCCAGGAACTCTGCACACCTGGCCCTGGGGATCTGCTCTGGGAACACAAGTCCACACTGCACTGGGTTCTGGTGATTAGCGGGGCTGCACACCAGGAGAGTTGGAGCACTCTCGGAGGCTGAGACTCCTGTCGCTTGTGGAGGACAGGCACACTCCTGCAGTCCCACTGAGACCCGAGGCAGAAGTGGCACTCCAAAAACATTTGCCAGCAGCAGGAAGGGTGCTGAAGATGGAGCTCTCTCCACAAGAGAAAGGGCAGGTGGATGACACTTCCCCAGCCCTCCCTTGACCCAACAGGTCAGGAACTCTTGGGAGCCCCAGACACTCCATCCCCGTAGCCGGTGGCTCAGCCCAAGGTGACCGATTCCCCGGGCACCACCAGCACACCAGCCCACGTGGCCCAGCAGCATCAAGACTTTGCTGCCTGGCAGACAGAGGGAGGTTGTCCCAGCTTTCTCAACCCTGTCTCGGCCAATCAGAGAGGCACCTGGAGGAGGGAGCTCTGAGCGCTCCTTCCTCTGCCCAGGAGACCCAGACACCACTGCAAAACCCACACGCCCTGCAACCATGGGACTCACCCACCCCATTAACCCAGCAGGCCTGCCATCGCTGCAGGGCAGGCAGAAGGCGGCCCCACCCACAGCCATTCCCCGCAGAAGCCACTGCTCTGATCACAAAGGGCCAACTGAGGCAAAATGTCATCTGTGACAGATAGACTACTGCTGACAGACAGACAGAAAGGCAGCACGCCCACTACCAACAAACAGCAACGGAGGCTCCACCACAAAGGAGAACCAGGCACTGGAGAGTGAAGAGTCTTGAGCTTCTGGGCACCACAGGATGCCTTCCTCATAAAGCCACTATTCTGTAGACCAGGAAGCATAGCTGATCGAATACAAAGGAAAAAATCCTGACAGGAGTATGTTCTGAACAAAACTACAGGATAAGACATCAGAAAGAGGACTAAATGAAATGGAGACCACCAATCTTCTTGATAAAGGTTTCAAAGTAACAGTCATAATAAATATGCCCACTGCTTGGGGGAGAAATATTGATCATTTCAGGGAGGACTTCGACAAAGATACAAGAGCTGAAGAGCTGAAGAATACAGTAACTGAAATGAAATATACAATGAGGGAATGAATAGTAGATGGCTGCAAGTAGGGGAACGAGATGGAAATCAGAGAACAGGAAAACAACAAAACTGAGGAACAGAAAAAAAAAAACCTCTGGAACTGAGAGCATGCAGAGAGCTACATGACAAATCCAAAGCAAAACAATATTCACATAATAGCGGCACAAGAAGGAGAAAACAGAGACAAAGGGACAGAAAGTCTCTTTGAAGAAATAACTGTTGAAAACTCTCCCAATCTGGGGAAAGAAACAGACACTCACATCATGGAAGCACAAAGAGCCCCTAACTTAAGGAGCACCCCCCCAGAAGACAAAACCAAGAGATATAATAATTAAAATGGCAAAGATTAAGAATGAGGAGAGAGAACTGAAAGCAACCAAAGAGAGAAAAAAGACTGCTTAGAAGGGAAACCCCATCAGGCTAACATCAGACTTCTCAGCAGAAACTTCAAAGGCCAGAAGGGAGTGGCATGAAATATTTGATGTACTGAAACAGAAGGAATTTCAACCAAAAATCCTCTACTCAGCAAGATTATCATTCAAATTTGGAGAGATTAAACATTTCCCAGAAAATGCATGCTGAATATATAATCACTAAACCAGCATTACAGGATATGTTAAAGGAGTTTCTGTAGATGGAAATGTTCCTACGTCTAAACAGTTTTCACCAATGAAAATAAACCCACAGTTAAGGTAGTAGAGCAACTGCTTACCAAGCAAACACAAACCTGAAACAAAATAAAAGCAGCAAAACTAACTATACACTAAGTCAGACACAGTATACACAAAAAAAAGGCAGATAATGAAATCTAATATGTAAAGTATGGAGGAAGAAGAAGAAAAAAGTACTTTCAGATTGTGTCTGAAATATAGTGATCAACATACTAGACTGTTACATGGTTAGGAGGCTATGCTTGAAACTTATGGTAACCACAAAGCTATAGCCTATAATAAATACACAAAAAATTAAAAAAGAGAAATCCAATCACAACACTAAAGAAAACCATCAAATAACAAGAGTATAAGAGAGGAAGGAACAGAGAGGCACTTTAAAACCAACCAGAAAACAATTAATTAAATGGCAATAAGTACAGAGCTATCAATAATTACCCAAAATGTTAATGGACTGAATGCACCAATAAAAAGACAGAGTGGCAGAATGGATAAAGAAACAAGACCCATCTATATGCAGCCTACAAGAGACTCATTTCAGACCAAAGACATACACAAACTGAGTGAAGGGATAGAAAAAGATATTTCATGCAAATAATATGGAGAAAAAAGCAGGGGTAACAGTACTTATATCAGAAAAAAATAGATCTCAAAACAAAGTAACAAGAGCAAAGAGGGACATGATATAACGATAAAGAGGTCTGTCCAAGAGGATATAACTGTTATAAATATCTATGCACCCAACACAGACGCACCTAAATATGTAAAACAAATACTAACAGAATTAAAGGGGGAAATCGATTACAACACAGTCATTGTAGATGACTTTAACACATGACCCATATCAATAGATCAATGGGAAGAAAATAACTAAGGGAACAGAGGTACTGAACAATACAGATGGACCTACCAGACATCTTGCAGAACACTCCACCCAAAAGCAGCAGGATACACATTTTTCTCAAATGTACATGGAACTTTCTCCAGAACAGATCACATATTAGACCACAAAAAGAGCCTCAATAAATTCAAAAAGAGGTAACTTCTCAGACCACAATAGTATGAAACTAGAAATAAATTACAGAAACAAAACAAAACAAGCCTACAAGTGCATGGAGGATAACCACATGCTTCTAAATGATGAACTGACAAAGTAATGACACTTAGGACTTACCTCTGAAGTCTGACTAGTTCTAGGCAGTGAGGGCCCATCCACCTGGACCACAGTTACCTGACTGGGAGACTCTGAAAGCATGCTCACAGAGCTAGCAGAAGTCTAAAAATAAAGAGAAAAACAAAGCCACTTTTTCTGTGTCTGATATTAAACAGGCAAAATTTAAAAGTCACCAGAACACTACCTGAGGGAGACATTGTATGTACTTAGAATTGATAAGCAATCACTTATGCTGATTCAATAACCCTGCAATGGATATCACATGGTCAGTGGCAGAATTTTGTAGTCATCTAAAAACTTGCAGAGCTCTTTTAGAGGAGCCTAGTGGAGGTGCCTGGACCCCCTCCCAGTGTAGAAGAGCCTATTACCAATGTAGTAAGATAATTTACAGAATGTAAATTGAGGTCATAATTAAAAATAACAGTTTTAAAATACCATATGGAAATTAAGTTTTTCTAAAAAAAAGTAAGTATGCCTTTAAAATAAACTTTATGATATGAACATAGCTTAGAATTTAAAAACGCAAGTAAGATGTCTTTTATTCCATAAATGCTTGGTTTTGATACTCTTACCTTAGACTGGTCAAGAATTTTTTCCCATACTATTTTATCACTTTCAGATTTTTTCCAAGGATTATTCCATTTTTCAGAAGCTTCTTTTTCTTTCTTCTTTAAAGCAACCTGTTCATCTGTAAACAATGTCCTTTTTAAAAAAATGTACAACTGTAAAAAAAATCAATGTAAACAAATCATGACCTTCTTAAAGAGTGCAGAATCCAACACAGATCTAATCAAAATTGGTTTTTAGGGAGACTGACTTACAAGAATTTTAAGGGATATGGAAGAAAACATTTAGTCAGAAGCAAGTTGAAGTATGGAACAAATGAATGTAAAAATGTTTTAATTACAATTATCAATAAGGAACAATATTTTCAGAACAATACATCTTGTACTGTGTTAATTATTCTTAGGCACTACTTTCCTATAATGTTCATTCAGTTACTTTTTAGAGACTTAACAGCTAGAACTCTGGATGGAGAACTATTGAGTCTAATCCAAGTCCAATCACTTCCTAGGTATATGACTATGGAAAACTGCTGTTCACCTCTCTAAACCTCAAGTTTCTTCTATAAAACTGAGAGTAATAATAGTGCCTATTTCAGTACAGGGCTTAACACAAATGTGTAAAAAAATGTTAGCCATTATAATCCCTAACTGCTGAAAAGTAAAAAACAAAATCTTGGTGCAACAGACCCACGTAAAAACTAGGCCCCAAATTATCGATAGTCCTAAAAATTCAGTGATGTATAAATTTAAATTCCAAGAAAATTAATGAAAGCATGACTTGAACAAAGACAGATGTGTTTTTCTAACAGTATCAAGTAAAAGGAGCTGAATTGTTTTTTAATAATTGAGGCATAAAACAGTTCAACCATTTCCAAGAGTTCCATCTTACCAAAGAAGTTTGCAATTGTAGTTGATAAGCTAAATTTATACTGAAAGAACATACTTAAAGCAGAAATTATGATATAAACACACACCAGGTCTCCAAATCATCTCATACTGCTATCACAAATTTCATTTCTTCATAATTGTGTTTTCTTGACTTCCAGCAGCAATTCATTCCCTATTTCTTCTCCTTATCACTTTTTCTAGATTACCTGTCCCAACAGGGTTATGACTGCCTCATGGGACTTCCCAGGTGAGTGGAGGGTGAAGTCCATCGTCATGTTTTTAGTACAGTTACTCTTAAGTACAACTGTTACTTCACTTTCCAAACTGTTACTTCTAGTCCAAGAAATAACAGGAGTTTACTATATTTTACACCTTAACAGAAATTTATAATAAGTTTCTCTGTTATAATGCCCACAAGCTGACAAAAAGCAGTAAGCTTGTTTGGAATACAGTCTGCATGGAATATACTGGTTGACACCATATTAATGATACCTAGTTAGAATATTTTCATTACTAAAAAAAAAATAAACTCAAGAAAATTAGTGGTGAAAAAAGATGGCGGAGTAGGAAGGCAAGGTGGAACACAAAGCAACTACAGCAAAAGCAACTAACCCTGAAAACAACCTGAAGACTGCAGAGCAGACCACCTGCACCTGGCGAAGAGGAGAAGCCCACACAGAAGGGTAAAGTGGTAGAGCCATCATCCAGTGGTACCCAAGCCCTTCCCCATCCCGCCAACAGGAAGAAGAAAAGAAACTGAGCAGGGAGGGATAGGCGCTCGGGAACTCTGCATATTTGGCCCTGGAGATCTGCTCTGGGAACACAAGTCCACACAGCATTGGGTGGAATTTAAATTCCAAGAAAATTAATGAAAGCATGACTTGAACAAAGACAGATGTGCTTTTCTAACAGTATCAAGTAAAAGGAGCTGAATTGTTTTTTAGCGGGGCTGCACACCAGGGAGAGTTGAAGCACTCTGGGAGGTTGAGACTCCTGTCACTTGGGGAGGACAGGCACACTCCTGTGGTCCCACTGAGAACCAAAAGAAAGGCAACAGTCTGAAAGATTTGCCTGCAGTGGGAGGGTGCCAGAGAGGGGAGGGTTGGACAGAGCTCTCTACAGAGGAGAAAGGGAAGGCAGAACACAATTCCCCAGCCCTCTCTCAACCCAACAGGTCAGGCACTCTTGGGAACCCCCAAATGCTCTATCCCCCTAGCTGCTGGCTCAGCCCACAGGTGCTTCCCTCACCACCTGCTGGCCCACTCAGCCCAGCAGCATGCTTCTAAATAATCAATGGCTCAATGAATAAATTGAAACAGAATTCAAGCAATATATGGGGACAAATGAAGACAAAAATACAACAGTCCAAAATTTGTGGTTCACTGCACAAGCAGTTCTAAGAGAAAAGTACATAGCAATACAGAACCTACCCAAGAAACAAGAACAATCCCAAATAAACAGTCAAAACTCACAAATGAAACCTCAAGTTGTAGAAAGAGGGATAAAGATCAGAGCAGAAATTTACAGGGAAGAATGAAACAATAGAAAAAAAAAATCAATGAAACCAAGAGCTGGTACTTTGAGAAGATAAAATAGATTAAGCCTGTAGCCAGACTTATTAAGACAAAAAAGAGGGAGTGCACAAATGAGAAACGTAAAAAAGTAGTCACAACAGATACCACAGAAATACAAAGAATTAGAGAATTCTATGAAAATAAATTGGACAACCTAGAAGAAATGGGCAAACTCCTAGAAAAATACAACCTTTCAAGACTGATGCAGAAAAGAAAAACAGGAAATCTGAACAGACCAATTACCAGTAATGAAACTGAACTGGTAATCAAAAAACTCCCAACAAATTAAAGTCCAGGACCAGATGGCCTCACAACTGAATTCTACCAAACATTTAAAGAAGAGCTGATACCCATCCTTCTTAAAGTATTCCAAAAAGTAGAAGAGGAAGGAATACACCCAAACTCATTCTATGGGACCAGCATCATTCTCATACCAAAACCAAAGACACTAGAAAACAAGAATATAGACCAATATCCCTGATGAATATAGATACAAAAATCCTCAATAAAATATTAGCAAACTGAATTCAAAAATACATGAAAAGGAACATCCATGACAACCAAGTCGGATGTATTCCTGCATTTCAAGGATGGTATAATATCTGTAAATCAACCAATGTGATACACCACATTAATAAAAAGGGTAAAAACCACATGTTCATCTCAGGAGATGCTGAGAAAACATTTGACAAAATTCAACATCCATTCATGATAAAAACTCTTCACAAAATGGCTACAATAGGGTTTGCACCTCAACAAAATAAAGGCCATATATGACAAACACACAGCTAACATCACACTCAGTGGTGAAAAGTTGAAAGCTTTTCCTCTAAGATCAGGACCAAGACAAGGATGTCCATTAGCACCACTTTTATTCAACATAGTACTGGAGGTCCTAGCCATGGCAATCAGACAAGACAAAAAGATTAAAAGGCATCCAAATTGGTAAGGAATAAGTTAAACTGTCACTATCTGTAGATGACATGATGTTATACATAGAAAACCCTAAACATTCTACCAAAAAATAATTAGAATAACTGCATTCAGCAAAGTTGCAGGATACAAAATTGATACACAGATATCTGTTGCACTCCTTTATACTAACAATGAACTAGCAGAAAGAGAAATTAGGAAAACAATACCATTTACAATTACATCAGAAAGAATAAAGTACCTAGGAATAAACCTAACCAAGGAGGTGAAAGACCTATACTCTGAAAACTGTTAAGACTCTCATGATAGAAATTAAAGAAGACACCAATAAATACTACCTTGTGTTCATGGATAGGAAAAATTAATATTGTCAAAATGGCCATCCTGCCCAAAGCAATTTACAGATTCACTGCAATTCCTATCAAAATACCAATGGCATTTTTCAATGAACTAGAACAAATCATCCTAGAATTTATATGGAACCAGAAAAGACCCAAAATAGCCAAAGTAATCCTGAGAAAGAATAAAGCTGGGATATTATGTTCCCTGCTTTCAAGTTATACTATAAGCTACAGTAATCAAAACAGTATGGTACTAGCACAAGAACAGACCCATGAAACAGAATACAGAGCCCACATATAAACCCCCACGTATATGGTCAATTAATATACAATAAAAGAGCCATGAATATACAATGAGGAAAAGACAGTCTCTTCAATAACTGGTGTTGGAAAACTGGACAGGTACATTCAAAGAGAAAAAAGCTGGATTACTGCCTAACTCCACACACAAAGTAAACTCAAAATGGATTAAAAACCTCAATGGAAGACACAAAACCATAAAACTATTAGAAGAGAACATAGGCAAAAATCTCTCAAACTTAAGCATGAGCAATTTTTTCCTGGATGCATCTCCTCAGGCAAGGGAAACAAAATAAAAAATGAACAGGTGGGACTACATTAAACTAAAAAGCTTCCATACAGCAAAGGACACCATCAGCAGAACAAAAAGGCAACTGCAGTACTGGAGAACACATTCATAAATGACTTATCTGATAAGGGGTTAACATCCAAAATACATAAAGAACTCATATGCCTCCACACCCAAAAGACAAATAAACCGATTAAAAAATGGGCAGAAGACCTGAACAGACATTTCTCCAAAGAAGAAACACAGATGGCCAACAGGCACATGAAAAGATGCTCCACATCACTAATCATAAGGGAAATGCAAATTAAAACCACAAGGAGGTATAATTTCACACCAATTAGAATGGCCAACATTCAAAAGACAAGAAATAACTGTTGGTGAGGATGTGAAGAAAAGCGAACCCTTCCTCTTCTGGTGATGGGAATGTATATTGGTGCAACCGCTGTGGAAAGCAGCGTAGAGGTTCCTCAAAAAAAAAAACTGAATATAGAAATACCATTCAATCCAGTAATTCCACTTCTAGGAATTTACCTGAAGAAAACAAAATCCCTGATTTAAAAAGATACATGCACCTCTATGTTTACTGCCACATTATTTACAATAGCAAAGATATGGAATCAACCTAAGTGTCCATCAATAGATGAATGAATAAAGATGTGGAACCTATATACAAAGGAATATTATTCAGCAATAAAAAGAAAAGAAATGCTCCCATGTGCAACAACATAGATGGATCTAGAGGGTATTTTGCTAAATGAAATAGACCAGGCAAAGAAAGACAAATACCAAATGATTTCACTTATTGTGGAATCTAAAAACAAAACAAAATGAGCAGAACAGCAGTAAACTCAGGGACACTGAGAAATGCCTGGTGGCTTGCATGGGGGAGGGGCTGGATTGGGTGGATGGGGATGTCGATGGGTATAAAGAGGCATAAAAATTCTCAATCATAATATAAGTTGGTTATGGGGATGGAAGGACAGCATGGAGAATACAGCCACTGATTCTGAAACATCTTCCTATACTGACAGATAGTAACCGCACTAGTGGGGGTGTGGATTTAAAATCAGTAACCGCCACACTCCTGTGTTGTATATTTGGAACCAAAGAAGATTGTATATCAACGATACTTCAGTAAAAAAATTACATAAACTCAATTATTCTTAAACAAAACTCTCTTTAAGTCCAAAAGGATTTCTGTGTTAGAAAAATAGGAAAATGGATTCTCAGGAAATGAGAAAAGTTTGGGAATCTTTAAGCTCTAGGAAATCTAGAATGATACTGATGGCATTAATGCTCAACCTTTGGCTTTCGATGCACACCACAGAATACCAAACAAAAAAATACAACTCCGACATTGTGATACCAAAAAGCTTCTTATGCATTTGTAGACAGCAACTCTAGATAACAAATGTTATGAAACAGTATTTTTTATACCATTCCAAAACATATACTTCATCCTCAATATACATTCCTTAAGTTAACAAAACTGTAATAAGATGTATAATAATTACTTACCAAGCTCTTTTCTCCACTGGGCTTTTTTTGCTTCTAACAAACTCCTATCAAGCTCTCTTTCTCCCAGAGTACTGAATATGTCTGCTGGTTTCCATACATTTTCTCTAAGACAAAACACAAAAAATAATAGGAATCTTACTATATGTGTCTTATTATACATTTCTACACAACTTACCCTGTAAGTAATAAACTTTTAAATAGCTCTTAGTCTTTAGAGTATTTCACATGTAAGTCAAGGAAAAACAAAACCGTATGTACATGACAACCCCACAACACATAATAGTTACACACATGGCAATTTCCTGCTCATACTGCTGAGATATTTCCTGATTTGTATTTAAAACAGACTTATTTTCATCCTGAACAGATGATTCTGCCTCAGTTTTCTGGAGTACTCCCATAATGTTCTCCTCCTTCGGTTGATTAGGAATACTGCTTAAATGTAGACTGTACTGACCTAGAAGGTAAAACATATGTTTTAAAATTAACACTAAAATTACATCAAATACAACATTTTATATCTTGGCATACTGCTCTACACTTTAAAAGACACTGCCTTACACATTACATAATTAACTACCTCTCACAGCAATCTTTGTGGTGCATATTATGACTTCCTTTTTGTCAAAAAAAGAAACCAAGTCTCAGAGGTAAGTGGCCTGGATGTATGGCCACAGCAATAAAACTTCACGTCAAATAAGAAGCAGCAATAAAACCACCCTCCATTCACTCTTGCCGATATTTTTACAAATATTAATGATAACACAATTACAGCTTAATGGACAGTAAATGCAAGTAACTTTATGAAAAACTCATTACCTTGTACTTATTTCTCTTTTTTAGCTGGGAAATCGGTGGAAACCTTTACCATAGCTTGTCTGTATGCCCCAGATGTAACATCTATTCCAAGTGTTTTATACAGAACTCCTATGCTTGGCTTAAAAATTGTTCTAATTCCTCCTTAATGCAAGTTCTCCCAATGAAGAGAAAACATATCTAATATGCAGGTCATTACACGATTTGGCAAATTTTGCTTTTAACTTTGTTGATATTCTCTCTCATTATGCCTAGTAAATTTTTATTTTTGTTCTCTGAGCTAGAATCCTACCCAGGTCCCCCGTTTTACGAAGACTAAGGTAGACCAAGAGGAGGCAGATGGCTCCATCCTGAATGCCTTGGCAATCTACAGGAGCTACACGGTCCCCAAATCAGTGTGGGTCCTCTTCCTAGTGACTTTATTTTTTATGTCACTATTGCCTAACAGAATTTTAATGATATTTCTATTCATATTCACAATTCCTTAGCTCAAAGGGGAAACTAGAAGGCTTTAAAAAACTTTAATGCAATGCCCTGAATAGTGAAACAGAAAGCATGTGACTCTACTTCATCCCTGGTTTACACTCATTCAAAAGACAGTGCTGTCAAGCCTCAGCACAAGTTGGGGTTCATGAAGAGCAAAATTCGGGGCCAGGAAAATAATCCTTTTCAGCAACTCAAATCAAATCTTCATACTAAAGTTTCCTCAGTTTTCAGAAGAAATACTGTAGAGAGTTTCTTAGAATGCTTTATAGAATTATTTTTTATGTGAATAAAACCTGCTATGTAGTAAAATAAGTAACAGTAACTTTTTGCACTAACAGCTTTTAGAGAGTCCACAGCCCCAGGTTTCTTAAGGCTCTGGTACAGGAGAATATCCTGAGCATTAACCCCAACATATGGCATATTATAGCTATAAAAGTAATTTTGCATATGAAAGAATGTTACTTACAAGAATACTTTATAAAGATTGCTACATCTTAAATTAGAATTTGAGTTACATAAAATCCAATGAATATGAAATTCTAAAATACATATTGATAAAATATTAATTAAAACTTTAGAAACAGCTTACTTGTTTTCTCATTTCCATTCTCAGTCAGGGAAATAGATCTATTTCCTTGGTTTAAAGTCATCAAAATCTGCTGTAGTTGTTCTTGTGTTAGACACACCAAACTGCTCTTCGTATCTTCAGCTGTGATGTGTTTTCTGCAAGGCTTCTGTTTAGCTACTACAGATGTACTTACGGTGTTTCTAGTCTTCTGTATATTAGGGATTGCAGGTGAAATCTCTTTCTGGATATAAAGACACTCGCTATCTGCACACTGCTTGCACAAATCCTTACTGGGTGAAAAAGCCATACTATTTTTTTCACCTTTTGCCAGTGAAGTTTCTGAACCAATTCTCTTCTTTTCCAAAAGTTTTTCACTCCTGATACAAGTATTCTGAGTTGACTTTAGAATGTATCCAGTTTGTTTTATTCTTAAAGGACATTTTGCAATCTTGGTCTTATTTCCCATCTGTTAAAACACCAGAAATATATTCTTTTAACAGCCCATGAAAAAAATAAACTATTATATTTATTTATATGATCTGTGATAAGTCAAGCTTCTAAACTTTTTTTCCATTTTGCTATTTAGTTAGATAACATATCCTCAAGAAACTATCATTTAACCTTTGCAAATCTTCACCTGAAAGCATCATCAACTGGAAATTATTATTTTATATTTCAGGATACTGGAGAACACAGAATAATATAAGATATGTCCGTTCTCCTCCAGCTCTGAATCTCATGTCACAATTTTACCACTCGCACTACCTCTTTTCTTTTCAGGCATCTATAGACCCCGTAGGCTACTAGCCCTTTCTTCTTGGAAAACTTAGTTCCTGAGTCACCAGCCCTCTCTCTACTTCCTGTCTTAATTACTGGTGTCTTCATATCCACACAGATCATTCTTCCAAATACCCTGGCCTCTCATTTCCTTGAGCTCTGTTCCTATACTTGTGTCCTCCATGCTACCTCAGTTACTCATTCCCATAGTGAGATCTTACACTGCCTTGTGACTACCCATAACTGCAATCCCTCCATAATCTCGACTTTAAGCGCTGCACAATGACCTCCACTCCCTATTTTTCCCAGCTCATTTCCTTACATATCCCAATTTCAACTATTCTTGAACTCTACTGGGTCTGTGCTCTATTGATTCCCCTTGCCTTCACTTCCCCTCCTTACCAATCTGAAACTTCATGATCAACCAAAATCATCACTGTCTTCCATGCTCAATGCCTCTGCTCGGTCATGCATGCATGGCAAATCTCAAACCTGGTAAAATTTAACTCTTCACCTACTCTGTGCCTGCACACAAGGAGAAAAACAGTAAAATCATCTGCTTTCACCTTAAGTACAAACCCAAGAACAGCAAATGGGCTCTTCAGGGTATCTGGCTCTCACACATTTCCCAAGTTCATTTACTCTCTCACTCTTGTAGCAATCATTTCAGCTTTCTCCCTTTCCCCCAAGCCCCTAACACTTACTCTTTCATATTTGTTCTCAGCTGCAGACTGTAACATTTCACTTACAATATTTCACTATTATAGAGCAGCATTCAGAAAAAACTTAGTTTCCACCACCGAATCTGTAACAGCATCTGGACTCATACAAACTGCTTGCCCTCCTATTATTCCTAACATTCCACGCATTCTATGCTTTT